ATTTTATCAATTGGCCGAGTCAAATAAAATGACATGTGCCAATAGCTATTATAGAATTCTTTAAAACTTATCTGTTTATTATATTATTAGCATAAATTTAACGGTAATAAAGTGTAATTTTAAAAAATACAAGGTTTCAACAAGGGCCCGAATTTAGCTAATATTATGTATAATATATTGCGAGTAAGATGTGGAATATATATATGTAGAGTTTAAAATATGATATATATTTATGTAAAATGAACAGTGGGGAGCTATGCACAGGAGAGAACATAAAGGCCATTAAATGTTATAAAACGATTATAATAAAATAATAACAGATTTTTTAAATTGATAGACATCATACCAAATTCTAGGCTAGATTATTAGATATTCTACTGTTTATGCATAATCCATACTCTTGTGAACTATAAGTGGGATATAGAATGTAATATTAAAAAAGTAAAATGGTTTAAGCAACTGTTAAAATAAATCAAATACTAACACATTTTAGATAAACAATTGAGTTTAAATAAGATAAAAGTCAAAAATAATAATCGAGTAATGACTTACAGATTATAGTGTTATTATCAACAAGATAAAGTTCAAAAATTACCTGCGAATAAAGTTCGCGTCGAACAGGACAAATGCCAGTCTCTCTAGCCTGTCTTTGTTGCAACCTTCTGTCGAGTTCCTCTTGTAAGTTGACAACGTCAAGTCTAGTGGCAGGGGTGCTTGAAACTTGCTGTACCCATAATTGACCATTTTCCGTCCATTCTCTGAGTAATATTAAATGTTTATGAAATATTAAGCAACCTAGGAGGAAGAATCGAATTCAAAATTTCTTCAGTTTGTTGTGTCGGTTTTGTTTCGCCAAGGAAAGCTTTTCCCTTTGGTGGTGGTAAGGGTACAGGGCATTCTTCTACACCTTGCCCACAAACAGTAGCTTTTAAAGTTTTAGCCTACAAATATATATATAAGTAATAGCAAACCCTTTGATGTTTTTTGTCTGTATTTTTTGTTACTAGAATGGGCGTGTCATATTTTACTAGAGAAAGATTAGGTGGTATCATAATGGGTGTCAATAATAAATAGGGCGGCCATAAATCACCATGACAGTAAAGTAAATTAAGTATTTAAAAATTCAAGCAAAATTCATCCTAAACTCTAAAGTAAAAAGGTAATAAAAATATTTTTTTTATTTAGAATTTTACGCGTTTGCTTTAGTAAGAAATGTTACTAATGTCCCATATCATATTTTAGGTTTATTGAATAGAAGGTATGAAGACCAAGATGGTCTAGCCTTTTGTGTGGTTGTAGTCTCCTTTCGTTGTAAAAAAGTTGTTTGATCTTGTTTTCGAAACTTGATTATATTGGTAGGAAGATTTATAGGAACGCAACTAGTCCGGAGTCCATTGTATGTATGATCGTTTTCAGAGTAGGACCATGGATGTGATACATTCCCAGACCTAATATTACTGAATTTTAAATTTAATTTGGATAAAGATAACTTTAATGTCAAATTCGATGAGTTTTTGCATTTTTATTACTTTTTATTTTAACTTTCCAGCTTTATGCATACTCCTTTAATCCTTTTACTATCATACCAAATTTAGTTGCCCATTCCACATGCTTTTCTAAGTTTCTTATACCATTGCCTTTAAATTTTTATTCTATCAATTGCATTATCTCTTTAAAGTCGTCGTATGGTGCCAATAATATACTATCAGATCTCATAAAGTTGTTTGTATCAGAATGTCAGACATACCGTTTATTACACATTAATTATTAGTTAATATACCGTAAATTTACTTTAAAATATTGGACTTATATAAGAACTCCAGGAGTGAAACTGAGAAATATACTAACCTTGATTTGTAGCTCACGAAACGTTTAGTTGAACAATGATGTCTGCTTATTAACCCATGTGAAGATAATTATGTTTCAGGAAATATTTTTGAATGATGTGAACAACTATCAAACGACGAAATGTCCTATCTTTCAACCAATTCAGATGACCCATTTACCCGTTTGACTTTTAATTCTATTATTTCGGCAAAGATTATGTCACTATAAGTGGATTATTTAAAGCCTAATCACATCCACCACCAGTTGCACATACTATTCTCAGGGCTTGTGAAACAAAAAAAGTACTTCCATTTGCCCCTTCCACCCAAGTTGTCAGCTGTTACTTGCTGCAAATTAATGTCAATATTCAACTGGCTGTCTATAGGTCGTCTATTCCGAGCCTTGTTTATATCCTTTTTTGAGGAATTCTAACAAACGGAGAGTTTCATGTCTAAGCATCTATTTCAACTGAGGTTTCAGAACTACTTGAATCCATAAACAGATAGACCTCCGTAATTTTACACTCCCGAATCAAGTAAAGCACAGTCCTCTTCTCTATTACGTTGCCAGTAATAGAGAACTCCATTGTTTTTATTTGAACTCGTTTTCGCAAATTAGTAGGAGCTACATAGATATCTTATGGTACGTAACTAGTCCTGCATTCAAGCAATTGAGCTCCACATCCATGTAAGGTAAGTGTCTATTCTCTCCAACATCCATAGTAAATTTGTATTTTTCATGATTATTTCCAGAATCGGACCGTTAAATTGGTACATTTCCGGCATTTTTGCAGGCATTGCATTCGGCATCGTCAGTCAGAGGTACCATCCTTACAACATAATTACAGCTTATTAAAGCGACTATGGAACGCAATATCATTAACTAATTTCCTACTCAATTATTGTACCATCAATTCTCTCCCTTATTGGCCTAGCATTAAGAGCTTCATCTCAAAATCTCAATTACACTCCAATTTTGCCTTTGAGTGTTTCGCCTTTGATGAATTTAATGCAGCATAACCATTTTGACCATCAGTTTCAGATACCATTCGCAGGGCCATCGCTTCGAACTCTAATCTTCTCCCTTTATAATGTATTGGCAATCTAGTGAAGAGAGTAGTCCTTTCCCTAAGATTCTAAGAATGTTCCATTTCGTTAGTAGCTGCCTCAGTTTTAGAGCCATTTCGCATAGTAATCTGTTTCCTCTGTCCCTCTTTCTTTCTGTTTATACTACTTGTCTTGCCATCTGTTCATCACGATCCGTATGTTTCTGTATATTGTTTGTTCTATATATCTCCCTCCAAGTAAAATTGGAGTTAGATTTTTTGGTTAACCTTACCAGTATACGTTAATCGTATGCTTCTTGTGACTATGCTCCTGAGTATTTCATTCTTCAGTAAGTAAGCATGGTAAGACAAAAAATTAAGTATTATTCCTATATAGGATTTCTTTCGGAACAGTCGTTTCTTAAGAGTCTCCTCAGAGTGAATGATTTCCACTTCCGAGTAAGGTAAGTGTCTATCTCTTACACATCCATAGTAAATTTGACTTTTTTTTATCTATATTGTTTACGAAGATCAAGAAATCGTACAATTTTTATTTCACATTTGACCCTAGTATAAAGTAGTCATCCAAATATCGCATAATTACTATTGGCTGTTAAGGAGAATTTTTGAGTTTCTCTTCCAACTTGTTCATTAAGACATTAAATAACCTAAGTGAGAGTGAGGAAGACTAAATATTCGTTCATAGATTCGGCAGCTGAACGTTAAATAGGAAATTATGTTTGTTCGTTTGATTAATCGTATTAGAGAGTCTTTTCAGATTCGATCCGTCTCCAAGATGTCGTTTCCTCTTTCCAAGATCTCCAGTAGCGCCTTGAGCGCTTTTTCTCCTGTCACTTTGTTATACATTGAGTATACATCAAAACTCACAGAAAGTTATTATTCGCATTTAAGTATTATTTAAAAACTACCAGTAAATCAGTAATATTAAATGTCTCATCAAGTGTAAAAAGTCATGCGACAAGAAGTAGGTAGGATTGCAGCCAAGCTCATTTTTGTCTTCCTGCCTGATTAATTATTGCGAAGCCTAGTTTGCTGCTTTAAGAATGCCCGTTACCTAAAGAACTAAATTGCAGCGAGGCTTCATTGGTGCCGCGGGATGGTGAGCCGATGACTTATTTGCCCAAATATACAGTCATGGCCCTATAACTTTCGGTGGGAACAACTTACGAATTTCTTCCACTCGCCTTTTCAAACTAAGTAAAAGATCTTCTTACATTAATTTACTAGAATGTCCTTAAAAACCAGTTTTTCTAGATGTTGAGTACCTGTTCTTGATTACTCTCCGCTACCTTTACTTGAAGCCACACCATCAGACAGGATGGGAGAAGACGAAGACATATAAAAATGTGGTTAGATAAATTTGCTATACGAAGTGAGGTTGAAAGAAAGAGAGGCAGATTGTATCGGATACCAAAGCAATTGAACAGAAAATTGGTCAAAGAGGATTTCTTTCTGTCCTCACTTTATAAGTTGCAACACTGTTTTAAGAATAGCGTCTCTCACTAATGGGGCTTGCAAATATCCTGAGAATGTACCATTTCAACAGTCCTATGCTGGAAATAACCATGAATTCTCTGGAGAAGGACGCAAAACAAGATACGTTCCTCAAGGTCTTCTTGCTGTGTCGCCTAAGTTACGAAACCAAGTTCAAACCAACACTATACAGCTTTTGGAGTCTTCGACCAAACAAAAGACCAAACCTTCTTAAACTCCATATCTACAATCATATTAGGGCGGAAATATTGCCAAATGACGCACTCATTATAGTCGATCAACAGAGAAAATCGTGATTTACTCTTGTCACATTGCCATTCCGACTATTGTAAATGTTATGGGATCCCTATGAGTTTTTGCTATTTAGAAATAAAATATCATTCCGACAAGGTAACTGATATATTATATAATGCAGCTATGCAGAAATTATAGAAGAGTAATGATAGGGAAAGGAGAAAACTATTTATCGTTTTAGATATGAAGTCTAGACTTTTTCTTAAATTAAATAACTTGAATACAGTTAAGAATTCATACGAATTTTGCCAGATAATCAGAAGATGTAAACCAACTTTCGGTGATATGAGATGTATTGACCCAATT